GTGCCGCCCGGCTCCCGCCGGCCGGGAGGGCCCCCCGGGTCGCCCCGGGGCTGTGGTGGCCTCCGCCCCGCCGGGCGTGAGGGGAAACTGAGGCGCTGAGGGGGGCGGGCCCGGCGCTCTGCTCCCCTCAGCAGCCGTTAAACGGTCGGCGGGGAGCTGAGGGGACGGAGGCCGGGGCGCGGGAAGGGGCACAGGCCCGGGCAGGCGGCTCCCCTCCGGCCCTCTGCCGCCGTCCACCCCCGCTGGGCTTGGGGTTCTGGATCGGGTGGAGCGTCGGTGGGATTCGGGGGGAAGAGGAGGACGAGGGAGGAGGGATTTCTCTGCCTTCCTCCCCTGAAACACGAGTCTCGCCGTGGAGCAGTTCTGGAGCTAGCCCGCTGCACGTGTGGCTTCCACTGGGTTGCCCTAGAAATATTAATAAATCCCCGTGGTTCATAATAAAAGCGTTTTCCGTAGGCAGTATGATGTTAATACAGGTAATTGCTAATAGGAAAATCAGCCTGAAATAGCTTTGTCAGGGGTGCACTATGCTTCTGACAGATATTTTGGTTCTGATATTACAATCTTCTAAAGGGAAGGTTATCAGAAAATACATTACCCATATTATTGGCCTCCTCTCTAGATCCGCATTTTCAGCTATTTAAGTTTCCCAGACACCTTGGATTCAGCCACTGCGTTATTTTCCAGGAAGAGTTTCCCTGTTTCACTGCAATTCTTTGGAGCTGAAAACCAGAGCAGCTTTCAAAATACCTGAGCGTAACATTTGATTTGTTTAACCTGACATTACACCGTTGTTAAACCTAAGATTGCCTCTGAGTTTTGAGACTGAGCAGTTTGTCTTGAGGAAGCTTCACAGAAGTGAACTTGGATTCTGGGCTCGTTTTGAGACTTCCAATAAATCACTATCTGTGGTGTAACTGTGTAAAATTAATTCGGTAGGCAGGTGGCCGAAGAGCTTGATCCTGCATAATCTTACGTATGCGATTAAGTCTCTCTGCGTGGATGAATGCTACGGGTGGGACAAACTGTGCAAAGCTAAGCACTTCTGGATGTGATTGTAGAGGCTAATACAATGCGGGGGGGGGGGGAGA